TCGTTAAAACATACATAAGTCATTAAACCAAAAGTCTAGGATAAAATCAAAACTCTAGAAGATTTGATTAAACTACAGCAATAAAAGTATTTAATATACATATGTATATGTGTATATGTATATATATATTTATATATATTAAAATAAATATATATATATAATATATAAATTTCACGTGTTATTTATTACTTTTCAAATCAATTTACACCATTCTACCTCTTATGAACTAGTGAAAAGACTAGTTTCGCGGTGTGTGGTACGGGTGCCATTTTACTTTTTATAAACTAGTGAAAATATTAGTTCTGAGGTGTGTCGTACGCGGACAATTGATACCGGCAATGACAACTCAATATAAAATTTGCTAGTTGAGCCAACGTAAAGTGGATTATCACATCTGAATATTGCTTTAGTAAAGGTAAAATAGTAGTCCGTTCTTTTTCTTATATATAATAGGTCATCAACAAACTATTTTTAAAATAGTTTTGTCCAGTACATATCATAGTTTCCTCTTTAGTGAATTGTTCTTTGGCTATGGAGGACTATTCTGAACGGATAAATAACACATACGAGTATAATGCGCATCATTTAATAACAAGCACTGACAAGTTTAGGCAGCGTGGTTGTGAAGAGTAAAAGCCGTTCAATGGATATTAATATAGCATTAATAAGAGCTATACAGGAATTCCCTGTATTGTTTGAGAAAACGGGTTCGTTTCAACAAAAAATGGAAGCTTGGAAGGAACTCGCAAAACAATTTGATATGTCAGGTAAATATAAGCAAATTTTTGATTAATAAATAGAGCGTGTCAAGAATGAGTTTACATATTGAAATAAAATTCACTTTTTGAACTTAGAATCCAAATATACTGCTATTTGTTTAAATATAAAGATTTTTTATGTAATCTGTAATATATATCAAAGATACTACAAAGGACTATATTCAATACTTAAAACTTATATAACAATGTTTCCAGTGAATAAAGTTTATATTAAAGAACTTTATATTATTTGTGTGAACAGTTACTGGACAGTCAAAAAATGATGTGGGATTTGTTTTTGTGGTAGAATTCGTTTATTTTACAACAAACTACTGAAATTTTTTTTATATTTGTATTCTCAATATAATAATTATTAAAAAGTTATTATCAAAAATCTTTATATTTAAGGAAACTGCCGTGTTTCTGCGACAATAAGTTAATAAAGTGAGTTGTAGTTCAATGTGTAAACTCGTTCTTGATATACTGTATATGACTACAATGAATATATTTTTCTTCCAGAGAAATCTTTAAAAGCCCATTGGTATAGCTTACTACGAAGCTTCTTTGAAGATGAAAAATTCAAATACAAAGATGAAATGTCATACTTGCTTCCACATTTGGGTATCGACCAGAATTTGGCTGGTATCGAAGAAGATATTAATAAAATTTGTGTTAACAAACAGCAAGTACATGTAGAGGTCGAACAAGTGACTAATGAAGTGGATGTTGCAGTTACGGAGAAAGAACCAGTATTGCATGAAATAACTGCAATGCGGTATAATGAGTCGAACAAATCTGATGGTCAAAATGAGGAGCTATTAGCAGTTGAAGTTAAAGAATTTAAAGAGTCGATTAAATATTCAATCGATGATGAAGACTTTCTTAAATTGATAGCTTCAGAAATAACCAATATGGATGATGCAAAAAAGACACAGATCAAAAATGATATTTTACGTATTTTGTTTCCTTAAATAGTGTTACCTTCTTTTGTAAAATAGCTTTGTCTTTATACAAATAAATAAATTAACACAAAATTGATCTGGTTTTCATTATTTTAAAATTTTTCGTGTTATTCAAAAACTGTTGAATAAACATATCTACTAGTATTTTGAATGTGTTTATTATTTGGTCACCTTTTTAAAGTAAAAAAAAATTTATTTACATTGGTTTATTTATTAAATCTTTCTAAATAGAAATTGACAATAATTTTGTAAATCTTAAATAAATAACATGTATGCTTTTGAGGTAGGGTCTTCATATTTATGAATGATTTTCTGTTAAGGTGATTTAGTGCAGTTGCAGGAGATTAGTGTCGAACATGAAAATTTGGATACAACTTGTGTCTCTTTCGAAATTCAGGTGTATAATGGCGAATAACTTCTTCTACACTTGGTAGATTTAGGTCTTTGTGTATGTTTTTGTTTTTGATATACCATGGAGCTCATTTAGCGTTTTGGAGAATTTTATTTTGTACTCTTCAGATTTTTTCTATATTTGTGTTACACGGTGAACACCACAGTTCCATAGAAAAGGTTCAAATTGACTTTAATATTAATTTGTAAATTAACAATTTGTTATCGAGACTGAGTTTAGAGTTTCGAATTAGAAGCCAGTAAAATTCCTTATATATAAGATTTAATTGGCATCTTTTGGCATCCATATGACTTGTTCACCTGAGCCTTCTATCTAGACGAATTCCCAGATATTTCAAAGAATGTGATTAAGCTATGACCACATTATTGATTTTAACTGCAGTGCATGTTTCTCTCTTTAGAGTAAAAGTCACTTGAACGCATTTAGTTTCATTTACCTTGATTTTCCATTTAGCAAGTCACTCTTCAATCAAACCAAAATGCCTGGATAAATTTTGTGATGTTATAGTGCAGTCACGGTCGTTACTGACTATAGCAATGTTGTCAGTGAAAATCGTCAGCAAATTGTTTGAGTATTGTGGAATGTCAGTTGGAACTTCAGCGTCAATATCGTACTCTTGCGAAGTAAAAAATTTGTGTCTAACCCTAAATTTTCGGTGAGTCACATAGGATTTTAGAACTTTAACCAAACCTTATCAAATGCCTGCGCTGCATCAAGAAAAACTGTCGTACAATATTGATTTGAATGTAAAGTTAGGTGTATTTCGATAGCGATTCTAAAGGCCTGCTCAATTGTTCCAAGCACTTTGCGAAAACCACATTGATGGCCCGGAATTAAGTTTTCTATCGGTGAGGATATCAGGATTTTTTTATTAGAAGTATTTCGAAAACTTTTGAGATTTGCGGCAATAGACTTATTGGTCGATATGCTGCAACAACTAAATGATCTTTCCCAGGCTTCCGACTCATTTTTATCAATGATGTTGTCCAATGCATCGGAAAGTTCAAGAGACAAACAGATATTATGAAGATACAGTAAAGAAGATTTTAAAAATATTAATAAATCAATTACATTCTTGGTAAAAAGAGAAAGGTATTCCGATTTGCAATGTATGTCTGCTAATTTATTAATAAATATGTACGAATTTTATCATTTCTTGAGTTAAAAGATATATAGTTGTAAAAAGAGGAGAACTATATTGAATTGTGCTCCTATTAAATGAAATCAGGCTTATATACAAAACATAAATTCTATTAACAATGTTTATATATATTTTTATATATGTACATATATATTCAAACTAACACATTCAGACGGTATGGTTGGTTTCGACTTTTTAAACCATGTGGTATATTTAATGCATGTTCATATATGTATATGTAAATATATGTACATAGATAACCATATTGTATGAATATGTTAGATTACTTTTTGTCTACACTGGCTTGAATTTTGGCAAATTTTTGCACTTACAGTTATTTTTTTACTAATATAGGTATATACAATTTTGTTTGTAGACACAATTCGATAATGACGCGTATTTGTAATTGAATATCTCAACAAAGCCTAAAATATGTAGGCGTCCAGTTAAACATACAGTACTTTATTTTTCGGGATCAAGTTATCCGCAGTAAATGGTGTATCTACAGAGCAAATAAATATATGATCAGTTTTTACATCGCATTTTTTCTTTTTATAGTTTCATGTGTATTAGTGTGTTGCTGACAACAATACGAAATGTATATGTCGCTAGGTACTAGTACACGAACTAGTCCAAAGGTACTAGTGAAATGAGTGGTCTGTGGGGATGAGTAAACCTCACCACTTAGAATATATAAATTTCTCAATGCTTTTTTGTAGAAAATTTAATAGAGTATTCTATTATCTTTGAACAATAGTAAACTAAAATGCAAATGAGAAACAAAGAAATTCAATCAGATATTAGAGTTATTTATTTTGGAACTAGAGTGCATATTCTGACTCCTGGCAATGCAAAGATTCACCAGTTGAAATAAACATCCACTGCTTATGTTTGTTGTGCATAAACAAATTGAGAGCAATATGATTCGTTCTCTTGTTTTTAATATTATGCCCCTTTAAGATATTAATAATAGCGCGTTGACTTGGTGAATATGTAAAAACATACAATATTAAAATATGCTTAGTGGACTGTACACCTATGAATGAAGAAGATCAAGTAATGTTAACAGTTATCGATTTTAAATATATTGGTCTTACTTTCGATTAACACCGCTTTTATTGACACTTTATTGTAAATAATTTTAAAAATGTAATACAAAAATATGTAAAATAATGTGTAATAATATCTAGAATTACTACAATTAATAACATAACGGTATCCATAAATCGTTAAAACATACATAAGTCATTAAACCAAAAGTCTAGGATAAAATCAAAACTCTAGAAGATTTGATTAAACTACAGCAATAAAAGTATTTAATATACATATATGTGTATATGTATATATATATTTATATATATTAAAATAAATATATATATATAATATATAAATTTCACTTGTTATTTATTACTTTTCAAATCAATTTACACCATTCTACCTCTTATGAACTAGTGAAAAGACTAGTTTCGCGGTGTGTGGTACGGGTGCCATTTTACTTTTTATAAACTAGTGAAAATATTAGTTCTGAGGTGTGTCGTACGCGGACAATTGATACCGGCAATGACAACTCAATATAAAATTTGCTAGTTGAGCCAACGTAAAGTGGATTATCACATCTGAATATTGCTTTAGTAAAGGTAAAATAGTAGTCCGTTCTTTTTCTTATATATAATAGGTCATCAACAAACTATTTTTAAAATAGTTTTGTCCAGTACATATCATAGTTTCCTCTTTAGTGAATTGTTCTTTGGCTATGGAGGACTATTCTGAACGGATAAATAACACATACGAGTATAATGCGCATCATTTAATAACAAGCACTGACAAGTTTAGGCAGCGTGGTTGTGAAGAGTAAAAGCCGTTCAATGGATATTAATATAGCATTAATAAGAGCTATACAGGAATTCCCTGTATTGTTTGAGAAAACGGGTTCGTTTCAACAAAAAATGGAAGCTTGGAAGGAACTCGCAAAACAATTTGATATGTCAGGTAAATATAAGCAAATTTTTGATTAATAAATAGAGCGTGTCAAGAATGAGTTTACATATTGAAATAAAATTCACTTTTTGAACTTAGAATCCAAATATACTGCTATTTGTTTAAATATAAAGATTTTTTATGTAATCTGTAATATATATCAAAGATACTACAAAGGACTATATTCAATACTTAAAACTTATATAACAATGTTTCCAGTGAATAAAGTTTATATTAAAGAACTTTATATTATTTGTGTGAACAGTTACTGGACAGTCAAAAAATGATGTGCGATTTGTTTTTGTGGTAGAATTCGTTTATTTTACAACAAACTACTGAAATTTTTTTTATAATAATAATTATTAAAAAGTTATTATCAAAAATCTTTATATTTAAGGAAACTGCCGTGTTTCTGCGACAATAAGTTAATAAAGTGAGTTGTAGTTCAATGTGTAAACTCGTTCTTGATATACTGTATATGACTACAATGAATATATTTTTCTTCCAGAGAAATCTTTAAGAGCGCGTTGGCATAGCTTACTACGAAACTTCCTTAAAGATGCAAAATATAAATACGGAGATGAAATGTCATACTTGCTTCCACATTTGGGTATCGAACAGAATTTGACTGGCATCGAAACAAGAAAAGAATGGCCATATGCAATAGTCCCAGAATTTGACATAGCAGAAGAAGATATTAATAAAATTTGTGTCAACAAACGGCAAGTACATGTAGAGGTCGAACACGTGACTAATAAAGTGGATGTTGTGGTTATGAAGAAAGAACCAGTATTGAATGAAATAACTACAATGCGGTATAATGAGTCGAACAAATCTGATGGTCAAAATGAGGAGCTATTAGCAGTTG